TCTGAATACAACTTCCAACAAAATACACACACATTTTTCTTTTAAATACAGGCCTTATGGACATTTTTTATTTCATTTCTATCTACAGAGTTTTTCATTGTGAATGCAGTTATATATTAAAATCAGGTACAATTTTAAAGTGATAATTAGTTTAAAAAGTTTAACATGTTAAATATTATACTAAAATGTATTAGCCTATCTACCATGAAACTGTCACCAAGCTGCGCGGTTTAACACCAATTATGAATAAGTATGATGTAATGACAAATTCACAACATCTGTGATTTCATTTCATATAACATGGATTGATTCTCAATAAACCACCTTTTGTTTTTATGAACAAGGATATAAACTAACAGTTATAGCCATATTTTTGGGATGTTTTGGGGGAAAAAAAAAAACCTTTAAATTTGGGACCTGCCTTCCACAGAACAAGAAGTGAATTATTTTCAGTTTGGGGATATTACCAATAAAAAAAGTATGTAATAACAGACATGGTATTATACTTTACTTGCAAACAGATAAACAATGATGATGAAAAATTTATGACTGCACTTTGGTTCATTTATTGCTGGACGAAAGATTGGTTCATTTATTTACTGCTGGACGAAAGAATAAACATCTGTTCAATGGGGAAAACAGATGGATATAGTTGACAAAATAGTAATAAATTGGAACAATTACAGGGCAGGAAGTTTGTAACTCAAAGCATTCCGAACAGCACTTCTAATTAAATTGGAGGGCCCAACAAAATAGTAAAAAATGGACGCACATACACAGTACAAAAACACAGTTAGTTAAATTCTGATTATTTATAAAATAAAGAAATATCAGTTATTTTGGAATTCCACAAAAACAATTACAGCAACTTTGGCAGGATCTTGGATCAACTTTTGTGGATTGATGCTAGTTTTCTTTTATAGTCAATAGCATAATACATAAACACCAAAAGATGGAACAAAAGTGAACGCATCAATATTTCTTTTACTTACAGAATTTTTATGTTTGTATATATAAAGATGATAATGATTTATACTTATGATCAGTGATTTCTTTTTTCCCTACGGGAAGAGGTATCTTTAGATACTCTGGAAATATAGCAGGAGAAAGTAAGCTTTAAAATGCTGAAATTTCTGCTAATCAATGCCAAATATGTAATGGATATTTATGCGATTGTTTAGTTTTATTTAGTATATGATGGCTACACAGATGTTCAATTATATTTAAATTCTTTCAAAGCACTGTTCATTTTATAAATAAGGGAACATCTTTGAATGCTGGAATCCAACATAATTTGTGATCACTGTGGGATAAAAATTTACAAAAAGTCTCATCTAAGCCACACTGAGTGTTCATAGTTAAAATCTAGCTAGATAACTGGTCAGTCTTACTGCTACCTGTGATAGTGGAAATCTATCAGTGTATTTGCATATGTTTTGTCCAAAAAGTGCAAAGAATTTGAAAATACTGAAACTCTGTTTGTGTGCACATGTCACTAGAAAAAAACATTGCCAGCAGCATTAATACCCACAATTCTTTTCGTTGACAGGTGCTTTTTTCGGGGGGGGGCATCATTGCCTTTCATAATGTTTTCTGAGAGTCAGAAAGTGAGTATTTAATTTGTGTGGTGTTTTAGTGGTAACAGTTTAGACTAAAACCTTATTCAGCAACAATATTTCAATGTTAGTGGAATAATTACTGACTATTTTGTATCATTGCAATAAACAACAAAATATGAAATGAATAATAAATCTGTTTCAGCATCCAATAACACACTATCTAGCCAAAAGTATCTAGATACCCCCTAACAAAGTGGATCTGGCAGGTGACATAATTTAATGCATAAGCAAAAGCTATAAAAGCATTGGTAGTGGTTTGTCAGATCATATTTCTGTGTTTATGAGACAATGAATAAGTCAAAGGAGCTTAGTGACTTTGATCGTGGCAAGTATAGTGGAATGCCACATTTGTGGGAAATCAGTTCATGAAATTTTGGGCATTTTACAGGAGCCAAAATCCACTGTGAGTGATGTAATTGTGAAGTGGAAATGTCCAAGCAGTGAAACAGCAAAAAAAAAAATGAAGTGGTAGGCTGAAAAAAATTAGTGAACACAGCCAGTAGAACTCTGAAAAGGATAGTGAAACAGAATCACAAGTCCTGGTTGGGTGAAATCACTTATGAGTTCTAAAGTTCATCTGGCGTTAGTTCTAGCAGCAGGACTGTTCGTCAAGAATTTATAAACCTGGGATTCCATGGCCGTGCAGGCGCTCAGAAGGCGAACATCTCTCTCCAGAATGCAAAGTATTGATTGCAATGATGAAAAGCTCACCATCATTGGGCTGTAGACATGTGGTAAAATGTTCTTTGGAGCAATGAATCTCACTCTACATTATGGCAGTCTAATGGACGTGTCTGGGTTTGGGGAATTCCCGGCGAGCACTTCTTAAGTGACTACATTGTGCCGACTGTAAAGTTTGGTGGTGATATGTGTGTGATGTGGAGGGTTTCTTTCATGATTTGGCCTGGGTCCCTTAGTTCTTGAGGTTGCAAACATGAATTCTGAGATGTATGTGGAAATTCTGAACAATGGTGCTCTCCTAACTCTATGGCAATATTTCGCGAAAGGCCCATTTCTCTTACAGCAGGATAACTGCTCTATTCACACAGGCCCACCAGCGACCGAGCGGTAAAGTCACTAAACACTGGTAGTTCGGTCCGAGGTTCGAATTTCGTAAACGGGCTGGGTGCATGGGCGTTTTCGTGGTTTCCCCATGTGTAATGTGTATACGAGTCAGTTTCCCTTAGAAAGTCCTCCACGAAGGCATCCCTCCCCTTAGGCAGATAGCCCTCGAGGCTTTGCCATAATCACACATGCACACACCATTCACACAGAGTGCAACCATGGTTTGATGAAATGGATTTTCAAAAAGACTAGCCTTCTCAAAGCTCTGATCTAAATCTCATAGAAAACTTTTGGGATGAATTAGAACACAGATTACATAGCCGGGTAAATCGACCATCACTCACTTCAGTTGTGATGGATGCCTGGAAATCAATGTCTATAGCCACATATCAAAAACTCGTAGAAAGTCTTCCCAGACATGTGTAGGCTTTCATCGATACAAAAGAGGGACCATCATATTAATATATGCCTCAGGACTCCAAGTCCATACCACTGAATGTCTGGATACTTTTGGCCAGATAGTGCATTACAAGTGAGGATAAATCAGAAAATCAGGGCAGCACTTTCAAAGAGGAAAAATTAAATCCTTGAAAACTATATGCACCAAAGATTTAAAAACTGAAAAGGATGCAATTGCCAAAGTATTTAGAACGGAACACAATATAGTTAAAAATCAAGCATTTCATGATTTTGAGGCAGAAATTGATTATGCAAGATCTGAATGGAAGCAATGTGTGCCATATTTTAAATTGACTAATGCAATGATAACATTATTAAAAACATAATTAAAGTTTGATGAAGAGCCAATTTCTAATAATAAAAGATGCTGAAATTTCACAATAGGCCAAGCTGTTGGATTTTAAATTAAGGCCATAATAATCTTCTTTAACTTTCAGTGAAACAAAAACAATGAACATGTATGAAAGATTGGATTTCTCAACAGACTAACCCTAAGGGGTTTTCTAAAGGAATCATTCAAAAGAGAAGAACCCATGACCTTTTATACCTTTTTTTTACACATAGTCAAGAACATTCCAATTTCAGCAACTGAATGTGAGCTTCGCATTTTGTACAAATGAATTTAATAATGATTCACATATTGCTATTAAGCACTGTAGCAAACTTAATGTATGTAAAACTGGTAGGCCCCTCTAAATGTTTAAGCCATTTGTGTAAGAAAATTCAGGGTTTTTTAAAGGAAGACAACTGAAAATGGATATCGAAAGAATCAGGAAGATGCTAGTAAAAATACTTTGCACCAGTTGTGGGGAGCTGTGTAATATTGTGCACAATGTACCTTCTTTGTAAAAGAATTTGTATACTGGCCACATTTAGTTTGTGATTTGAATTATCAAAGGTGATTTTACTGAATCAAATTGACAGTATTTCTCTGTATTATTTTAGAAAGAAAGCACTGCATATTATATAATACGCCTTCATCAGCAATACTGTGTAAAATTTTAATTAAGACGTTGAGCGCCACGCAAGCCATCTGTGGCTGACACTAGACTTTTTGTTTAGGCCGCCATTCTAGGGTCATGCCATTCTCCAACAATCTCCTTCTCCTCTTCAGAAGATGATAAAAATACATCCACTCTGGACCATTTTCTAGCAAGAATAATTTCACTGCTGCTATCGCTTTCACACTCTTGGACTGACCAGGGCTAAAGAAAATTTTTGTCTTCATGGGGCGAAGAACTGCAATGAACTAGTTTGTTGTAAAAGGAACACCGGCGACGAATCCATTTCGATAAAATCTTATTTAGTTGGCCAAATGGTAAAGAAAGCATAACGTGTTGATTGAATGCCTATAGGAATCACGTTCCAAATGTAAACTATATTCTACTGCGATAAGAATCACTGACCCTACAATACCAGAGCTTTTAAGCGGTGCGAGTGACCTGAACGAGATTGCCTCTGAAATACAAGAGGTGCTCAACGTGTTAAACACTATCTCAGTTTACAATGATCATGGCTCTGAGTATGGCTTTAGTAAGAAGACTTTTTTAAAGAAACACAGTAAAACATGGATTTATTTCTCTAAAAACATATGAAAATTGCACTAAGCAAGATATTAATGAGAGATTACTTAAATATTAAACTACACATATATAATGAACTTAATCATTTCTTAAAATAACATATTCACAAAGAAATTACAATCCATATGTAAAACTAGAAAATATGATTATACATAAATTCACTGAAATTCTATAAAGCAGTATATTGCATACAAAATTATATATTACATAAAAGTAAGCAAAATGTTTAGGTTATAATCATTTTAAAAATAATATTAAGTAAATTTTAACATACTTCAAAGTCCTTGACAACTTGTGCAAATGCAGGATACTTTTTCTTTGATTCTTCCAATAATGCTACATTAGACTCAAAATCATGAATATACCACGAATACAATTTCAGAAATGGCCCCATCTTGACAATTATATCTGCAATTTTTCCTGATTTATCCCTGAAATAACATATCAAAATCAAACACTAATTTCAAAACTATGGTTATTGTATTGCAATATGTCAAAATCATAAATAATCATTTACATTTTATCAAAAATAAGCATAATCAAAAACTAGCTTCAATTTATGACTTTTGAACAAAATAAAGCATGCTCATACCAGTTATCAATCCTGTCTTTTAATTCCATAAATAAGTTTTCATTCAAATGCTGTAACTGAGGTAGATGATTTAAAATCTGTGAAAGGATGTCATCTGGTATAACAGAAGAATTTCTTTGTTTGCTGGCAGAATCTACAGCAGCTTTAAAATCCTGCAATACATTCAAAACATCAAGAAAGAATTTCCCACACATGTACATATATATAAATTATATAACCTGGCTAGAATACTAATAATTTAATCAGAATTAAAAATTATAGCTTAATATTTTCTGACACAATGTTACATAGATATATCTTACAACATCACTCAAATTTATTAGTATGCTGGCCAAATACTTTCAACCTTTCTCAACTGACTGCATACAATAACTTGAAACTGTTCTATACATTTTGGCGATTCTGTAAAACATATTTGATGACCTTAGTCAGATTAGGGTGTAAGGTATATTTTACTTTTTATCACAGTTACCTTAATTTTGAAACCCTTTCCTGTCAATTCTTGTTTCCACTTACAACTCCTTACCAGAATGAGTGTTTAGAATTGTGTTGAATGCAAATGAATTAGAAGTCACTACATAGCTCATTAGGTTCCTCGACATTTCATCATAGACAAAGGGCGAGGAATCTACATTTGGCACCGAAAAATTCAACAGACTATGGTATTAAAAAAGTGGAAAATTTGCACTGAATCCTCCTACCTTTCAAGTCCCTCAGGCACCAGTAAACCTGATGGAAGGGTTTGGTTTAATAGTAGAAACCATGCAGGCAGCAATGAAGCCACCTGTGAGCATTCGACAGCAAAGGCTCGATTATGATCTTTCTGGAACAGTTAAGAGTACAATTTAGGTTACATCCCATCAATGAACTTCAAAAAGTCACAATTGCAACAGCTAACAGTGATTACCATAAGAAGTCACAGAAACAAGGATAAATAAAAGCATTTAAACTAATTAAGGTGTCTGAGAAGAAGGTCCAGTCACACCCTGTGAAGGAAAAGCCCTCAGAGATTAAGCTAAATACCATAGTGGTACAAAATTTGGCCTTGCCCGAAATTCACATAATGTTGAATAATGTGCCTACCACTGCCTTACTCGATACTGGGGTACAGTACAACTTTTTGGCACAGGATTTTTTTTAAAAAGCATTTTCAACGGTTTAGACTGTTTAAAATCACGGGGCAGAAAGTAATTGCCACCCAAGGTAAACAGTGTGTATGCACTGGAAAAGTAGGGCTGCAAGTGCAGATTACAAAGGAAAGTCAAAAAGTGAACTTTCTTGTAGTTAAAGGTCTGTTAATGTCAGTAATTTTAGGAGACAACTTTTCACATGCAGTGAGCGCAAGCTTAATTTAAGCATTCTACTTTACAGGTACAAATGGATGCTGTAGAAGGAGGAGGAGAAGCACCTCCAGAAGTAGATTTGAATCACCTCTAGGAATAGGATAAGAAGAAAATTGAAGCCCTGGTAAGAAATTTTAATAAATTGTTTGACTCGAAACATGGTTTCTGTCAAGTAGTTAATCACGAAATTAATATAGGGGATACTCCACCTCCAGTTAGGTCCAAACCATTTAGATACGATACAGTGGGGGGGGGAATATTACATAACAGCATATTAGAGATATGCTGAAGAATAAAATAATCACCTGAAGTAACAACCCCTAAGCAAGTCCAGTAGTCTTATGCAGGAAAAAAAAAAAAAAAAAAAAAAAAAAAAAAAAAAAGCCTCCCACTTTTAGATCCGAAGTCCTGGAGGTTCGTTGTAGATTACCACAAATTAAATAGTAACGAAATATCTCGTGTATCCCCTGCCTATTATAGATGAATTAATTCGAAAAACACGATAAATGAATTACATGACAATGTTTGACCTGGTGTCAGGATATTTTCAGACAGCAGTAAAAGCCGAAGATGCAGAAAAAGCACCTTTATCACAATATCAGGCATGTAAGCCTTTTCTAAGAATGCATTTAACTTTAGCGGAGCTCCAGCTACATTCCAGAAGGTTATGGATATCATCTTAAAACCCATCCTAGGCAAAAGTACTTTTATTTACCTTGACATTATTATTATAATTGAAACTACTGATGAGCATTTAAAATTTTCATTATTAATTGAAACTGTTCTCAAGGTGAATCCCACAAAATGTAAATTTGCGGGTAAGGAACTCTGATTCCTTGGGTATAAAATTTTGAAAAAAGGGATAAAAACAGATAAGTTAAAAAGTTTAGCTATCAAGAGTTACACTTGTCCTAACACTGCAAAAAAATAAGCATTCTTTTTTTGAGCATGTGTGTTTATATTATTGATCTTTTATAAAAGATTTTGCAAAGATAGTTAACCCTTGCTGGTTCTAAAAAGGAAGAAAACCAGGTTCATGTGGATGACAGGCATGAACAGTGCATTCAAACAACTAAAACATGCATTAATCAATGCCCTAGTACTTAAAATTCCTAGAAAGGGATCAAAATTTTAAAATTGCTGCAAACGCCTCCGATTTCGCAGTCGGTGCTGTCCTTTCACAAAACAAACAGTCAGTTGCCTATTTTAGTAAAACTTTGAATCAAACTCAATGAAATTACACCGCGATGAAAGGATAAGCTCTCGCAGTATTATTAGTAGTGGAGAAATTTTGTAGTATATACTTTGGAAGCACCACAGTGACAATCCATTCAGACCATGTGGCAGATAGTCACTTGTATTCCAGAAAAAAAAAATCTTTCCCCCCGGCTTATACGCTGGAATGTGAATAGCTGCAGGCATATACCGTATTTGACGGCATATAAGAAGCACTTTTTTTCCTAAATTTGGTCTCAAAAAAGTAACCTGCGTCTTATACGTGAAGGACTCAGTCTTATACGTGAAGGTAATTGCATTTAATAATTGTTTATTTGGCTTTTATGAAACATGAGAACTAAAAGAAACCACGCTATTGAAACTTTTTTTCCTTGTGTGTGGCCGTCTAAATAAGGGCGCATCTTATATGCCGTCAAATACGGGAATCTCATAATTAAACACACGTCGGAAAAAGAAAATGTAGCGAATACCGTGTCAAGAATTAAGATTGATGATGTGTCATATATTATGTTTACAATTTTTTTAAAAACTCTAGAAATTGAATATTATGATCCTAGAAACAAGTAATATATGAATTTAAAAAAATCTACTCTTCCCTATTGTTCTGTGGGTGGTGGTTGCACTATGAAACCAGCACGCGTCTAGGACTTTGAAACTTGCTGAGGTAGTAGAAAAAAAAAACTTACCTTTTTTTATACACGTTTCCAAAAAATGACAAAATTTACACATTTTAAAAAAAAGGTATGTAAGAATTGCATTATATTATATGTGAATTTTTGACATTATTTTACAAAGTAAATCGTCAGGAAAAATTAAAAAATAAATATTTATGTAATTTTTTTCTAGAAATGAAGATATAAGTATCTACGTAATCAGAACATTCGAATAAATGGATAAAAAAAACTCAGTAAGAATTTTTTAAAAATTCAGTGGTTTTTTTTTTTTTTTTTTTTTTTTTTTTGTGACACTGTTCAAAGCATGTTTTCTCTTTTTGGTACATGCATAGACCCACATTTCACATATGTATCTATGAGGTTTATTCTTCCTTGTGACACAAAATGCACACTGCTTGGATCTTCTAAATTTCACTGGTATATTTCCAGCATTATTTAGTTTCTTTTCATTTGGCACTTGAAATTTATGGTTTTAATTTCAATGGGGGGGGGGTGCTTGGTCTTTTTGGCTTTTTTGGGTACAGATCATTCGTCTCCCATTTGTATTTATTTTATTCGTATTTCGTCCCAAAATATTTTTAATTTAATCAAACTTTTACACGATTTATATTTTTAATTATATCAAAGTATATTTACATTAAATTTAAGCCACACCAAATAATTTATAAAATCAGAATACTAGCTTGGGAAGCAAGTGTGTTGAGGTCAGAGAAAAATCTCTGGAAATTAAAGACCTATTTAGAGCAGGTGCATGTATTGTTTAGTAATAAAATAACTCTGTGGTTTCAAAGCCCCTTATCTATATCTGAGTAAAAATAAACATTCCTATTTGAAAAGCAAGCAAACACCATTGTGACGAGCAGTGGTTTCAAGGTGCGACCACCGAGCCTACACAATGCTCTAGTGGTGCAGCGGTCACGCCCTAAAACCACGAAGCAAATGCCATAAACATAGATAGGTTTTTCTTATATATTCAGTTTAATTATTGCAATTTTGTATTGTCACGATAGAAATCCTGATGTGCAATGAATAACTTTTGAAATTTAAAGTTGTTTATATTAATAAAAGGAAGTTATTTTGTCTCATTGAAAACGAATTTTAAAAGGCAACCGATCTGAAGTACTAAGACTTACAGGGGTTGGACAAAAATATGGAAAAACCTTTAAAAAAACATGTTTCTTTGCTTAATATGGTGTAGGAAACCCGTTGGCATCCGAAACAGCTTGCAGTCTTCTCGGAATGGATAAATACAGTTCCTGTATGTTTGCCAAGGGATTTCCGTTCCAATGTAGACCACAAAGGTTCGATAATATTCAGGTCTGGTGACTGTGGTGGCCAGGGGAGATGGGACAACTCATCCTCGTGCTCAGAAAACCAGTCCTGGATAATATGAGCTGTGTGAACAGGGGCTTTGTCGTCTTGGAAGACACCATCCATCGGGGAACAAAATTTGTACCATGGGATGAACTTGATCGGCCAAAATGTTCACATAAGTCTTGGTAGTCATGTGCCCTGACACAGTTATCATGGGGCTAGCAGAGAACCACGATATGGCTGCCCAAACCATAACAGAACCCCCGCCATGTTTCACTCTTGGCAACAAGCAGTCTGTATTGTAGGCTTGAGATGGCGTTCTCCAGATGTAAACTCGGCCAGAAGTGGGAAACAATGTGAAAGAAGACTCGTCAGACCATATTACTCGCTTCCACTTCCCTATAGTCCAGGCTTTATGACTTAAACACCACCTTTTCCTGTTACGGGCATTAGCATCACTGATGAGTGGCTTCTCAATTGCAGCATGGCCAGCAATTCCCTGTTTATGAAGCTCCCTTCTAATTGTTTTGGTACGCACAGGGTTCGGTAACACAACATTCATTTCAGCAGTAACTTTTGCAGCTG